TGCATGTAAATGTTTAACCACTAAAAATTGCAGAGGTTACACATTTACACATTTGTTAACATCCCTACTATACATACAACTCTCCTGAGGTTCTTCATTCCTTGCTACAATTGAAGAAGAATTGTATTTCTCCTTTTGGCAAAGCCTTAAAAAAGAACAGGCCATACATTCCTGAATTATTTATCAGATGTTCCTATGCAAACAAGGATTAAATAATTCTCTTTGAGCTCTTTGAGCAGCTGGAGGCATATTTCCTGGGTGATATTTACATGTTCCCCATCCTTCCTAGCAAACAAATTGTGTTTTGCTGGAGATCGAGGGCCTGATTTTTCCTTTCACTTATAATTTTGTAAATAAGGAGTAACTCCACAGAAATTGACGGAGCAACATCAGTGTAAAACTGAGGGTAGTGAGTGGAGAATCAGGTAATCTATTTGTGTTCCAAATGCATTTGATTAATAAGGACAGGCCAAAAATATTACAAATATAGTTTATCTCCCCACTGCACCCCAAATTCATCTGGTCTTGCTTTTAAAATAGCTAATTAATTTAAGACTGAAATTAAAATTAAATTACATTAAAAATGCTATCAATTTCCTAATTCTGCCCTGATCTGTTAAAAAAGCAAACTATGCAATCAAATTTAGCTAAAGCAGAAAAAAATTAAATGTTTTTATAAAGAAAGGCATTCCTTACTGATATATATTGTAACCAATATTATTAATCTGTGTAATTAAACTGATGTTGCTCAGGCATTATCTTGATTTAGAAAAGAAACCAGACTGTAGAAAATGTGGATTTGCATAGTAATCAAACAAAAGAAGTACAAAAAAGTAGTAGCTGAATAGGTTGCCCAGCACAAAACAATACCTGGAGACAGAAGAGATAAAAACGTTCATTGTTGATTAATAATACCTAGTTTAGTCCACCATACTTTATCATATCTGTAAAGCTGAATGTAAAACTGGAATCACAATTTGCTGAAGTGAAGTCCCTGAAGGGACAGAGATTGCTTTTTTGGATTCCTCAAGCTTAAAACATATTTGAACACATACTCCATTTTTACAGCTTCTTAACATGACAAAGCACAATTGTCCTCCATGGTGGCGTCTGCACTGGCAGGATTTTCCAAAAATGCTTTTAACAGAAAAGTTTTCTGTTAAAAGCATTTTCGGAAAAGGGCGTCTAGATTGGCAGGATGCTTTTCCACAAAAACACTTTTTGTGGCCAATCTAGACGTGGTTTTCTGCAAAAAAGCCCCGCTAGCCTTTTTCACGATCGGGGCTTTTTTGCAGAAAACAGTACTATGCTGTCTACACTGGCCCTTTTGCACAAAAGTCTTTCGGAAAAAGACTTTTGCCCAAACGGGAGCAGCATAGTTTTTCCGGAAAATCATCTGCTTTTCCAGAAAAACTTGCCAGTCTAGACACAGCCGTAGTGTTTAAATATCTGACTGCTATGCAAGAGCAGATTAGTGAATCTATTTGGATAGTTTTGTAATCTTTATCTATTGCTTCCAAATGTATACTGAGATCTGTATAAAAAGCCTGGTTTACTGTGTCAAAAAACCCAAACCTTTGCCAGAAACAGTTATTCACGTGGGAGTTTCTCTCGAGTAAGGAAGAGCTGGAAAATTTTGTCTTTTAAGTATCGATGCTGCAAATAGTCAGATTTTGAAAATCTATTTTCAGACTTTGCTCTCTGATTTATGTTCAATTTCTATTTAAGCCAATGAGCTAAATTCAGCCCTGGAATAAGCAGATGTAATACCACTAAATTCATAGAGCAATGACCACTTGGGGTACATCTACACCAGAGAGATGATTTAAGCTGCCGCTGTCAATCTTTCAGGGTTTGAATTGGTGGGTCTAGTTAAGACAGCTAATCTGAACTGAGAGGGGCACTCAGGTTGATTCTGGTAGTCCTGCTTCCATGAGGAGTAAAGGAAGTTGAAACAAGAGTCTTCTCCCTTTGACTTTTTGCAGTGTGGACTATACCAAAAGTTGAGCTAAGCTACTTGGACTTCAGCTACGCAATTAACATAGCTGAAGTGGCATACCTTAATTTGACCTTGTCCAGTAGTGTAGACATACCCTTAGAGTTTGGGGCAGGATACCAGTTGTATACATAACTGATACTATAACTTTATTTCTTTTGTTGTTGGGGTTTTAGAGGCAGCATTTGTTTTTTCTTTGCCAGTTAAAATTTCTAAGAGTCTTTGCCTTTTCCTATTGATCTCTGAGCTAAGCACCTCTTGGGAGCAAGCTGGAAATCAAAATACAATACAATGAAATGATGTTCATGCAAATTATTTTCTTTAGTCATATTTTAATTACCAGAAAGCAGGACAGCCCATAAAGCTTGCTTATTAACTGTGCTTGCCACACCTCACATCTTTTTAATTATTATACCTGTTAGCTTAAGAAGCTGCCTAACTGTTGCTGTTGTTGACCTTTTTCTCTAACCTCACCCTCCTACTCCTCAAATAAAGAACAAGAAAGTGGTACAATCTGTAGGTGCTGAGCCAAGGATGACAAAAAACTTGGTTTGGTACCAACTATGTAGAAAAAGTGACCTCATCAATGTAGTTGACATTCTTACTGAGTAAACAGTGAAACACATTTTTACAGTGTGAATAAATAAGAGAGCTTTGTAGAGAAAAAATAGAGGGGTTCCTTTTACTAGAATAGGAACAAACTCCAACAAGACAAAGAGATGCTTTCATGACTTCTGATACTCTATTATTATGCCTTTTCAACAAGTATCAATGCTCTGCCTTCCCTTTCACTGGTAAACAGTGGAACCTTTGCTGAACTGATAGTCAGAACCAGTCAACAGAAACTGCCTCGGGTCACATGATCTCCAAGCACTGTTGTTACCATAGCAACAGCTCTATGATAAATTAGTCTGTCTCTGCTAAGCATTCTGTTTGCCTAGATGTCTTAGAAGGTGCATTTTTTTAAAAATTTAAGATCTATTTTCCAATTTCAAGCAAACACCTGATTGAACTCCTTTGGTGGGCTTTCTGACATTCAACGTCTTGCAGCACAAAGTCAGGAGCATATTATCCCTGACTTTGGGGATGGGATAAATACTCTCAGCTATTTAATTAAGAATTGCCAACGTGTCTGGAGGGCTGTTTTATATCTTAACGGGATTTTTGTGCATTCTGATGAGGCTTGGTTTCTTGGTTAGAAGCTATTCCAGCAAAGGTTAATATGGATTTATTTCAGGTCTACTTACTTTCATATTGGTTGATAATTGAGATAAACTGCTAGACTTAAACCTAGAGGGAAAAAAATGTTGGCTATAAAAGCAGTGGAGCTTGTAATGGCCTAAACAGTTATTTATTGCAAATTAATACATTTTATTATACTTTTTAAAGACAATTTTAATACTGTTGTTAGAATTTGCTTGACTTTCACCTTTTGTTTTCAGAGATGTAACCCCAATTGTGGAAATTTAGGAATTCTTTATTTTCTGATGACATGATTAGGTAATACGATGCAATAGGACATGTGGCGATTATTGTGCTCTAAACTATACACACAATGGATTCTCCCTCTGTGATTTTAATTGCAATATATTAAGTTAGTACACATAGTGCTCTCATTTCCAACATAAAAGAAACCCCTGTTGAATTTAATTTATTCTGCCCATAAAGTAATTTGCATTGCATATGACAGTGCTCATTAGGGACCTGATCCTGCCATGCCCTAAATGCCCTCAACTCCCATGGACTTCACATGGATTCTGGGGCATTCAGCACTTTCTTTAGCCAGAGATGGTAAGCCAAGCATCAAGGGAGATTGCTAAGGATTTAATGAAGCTGTAAGTAATGGTGTAGGACAGCAAACAATATTTTTATTGCCATGAATGGGCACAATATACATAAGGGCTATGTCTACACTGGCCCCTTCTTCGGAAGGGGCATGCTAATTTTGAAAGTGGGAATAGGGAAATCCGCGGGGGATTTAAATATCCCCCGCGGGATTTAAATAAAAGCCGGAAAAAAGCGTCTAGACTGGCGCGATCCTCCGGAATAAAGCCCTATTCCGGAGGATCTCTTATTCCTACTTCAAAGTAAATAGGGCTTTATTCCGGAGGATCGCGCCAGACTAGACGCTTTTTTCCGGCTTTTCCCCAAGCCGGAAAAAAAGCGGTGGCCATGTTTATTTAAATCCCGCGGGGGATATTTAAATCCCCACGGATTTCCCTATTCCCACTTTCAAAATTAGCATGCCCCTTCCGAAGAAGGGGCCAATGTAGACGTAGCCAAGATGTATCTAGCTTCCCACCTGTGAAAATACGGTCCCGTGTTTTTGTTTGTTTGTTTTTGTGGTTTATATGAATTTCTGTAACACTGATATCTAGCAAACTTTTTATGGAATCTGGTCCTTGGTTTTGGGCACAATTAGCAGAGATGGAAGCCTAATTACACTCAACCTTTTGCCCCAACAGAAATTCAAGAAGTCACCCTCACCAAGAAGTCTTGTAAAATGTAACAGAAAATTATATCCCAGCTATACGATGGTAAATTTTTAATTCAATTATTTAGTTTTCACAGTAAATTCTATGGAACCCTATTAAATACAGTTTATAGTGGTTGTATATAAAGAGTGTGCTGATTTTTACTTTGAGAAAATATAGGGTCTCTCTCGTAGCCTTTCCCTAGTTCAAGCCTCCTGTGGTTGCTAATAGGAATCAGGATGTGTGTCAAAGAGGAAATAGAGCTAAATGGGGATAGTCTCACTTGATTAGAATATGTTAATAAAATGTAAGTTGACATTTATGCAATGGTGGCTAAAAATAGTATTCTACCTATTGAGACATTTCTAGGAACTGATCTTGCCATGCATCCTTATTTAAGTAATCCTTTCTGATGTGAGCTGTCTCACTGAAGTAAATGGGACTGCTGGTGGGTCAAATTCACCACTGTGCTGAAGAACACCAAAAGGCCTGTGCATCATTTATATCCTATTTTGAAGGCATAAGCAGACTTTTAGGGCACAGGCCTCTGCAAAAGGGTGGATTTTGCTATACATTTGTAAGAATTACACAGTAGGGTTCATAAACTGCCCATCACCATGGTCACAAAGTGCCACAAGCATTCAAAGATATATTACGAGAGGCTGTAAAGAAAAGAAATACTCACATAGGATTTATGAGTTATATACCAAATTTAACATACTTCACTTATTAAATGTGCATTGTTTAATACAAGACTGGATAATTTAAATAAGTTAGCTGTTGTTACAATATATTCTGATTTTAATTTTATAGAGAAATATTTTTATACTAGCCAATAGCCCTTCATAAAACGGGATTTTCGGGTCTCTCCTCCATGTCCGTCTTTCTCTCTTCTCCTCCTCCTCCTCCCCCACCCCTCAGCTCTCCTCCGTCTCCTGCTTCTCACTCTCTTTCTCTTTTCTCCTCTCCCTCCTGCTTCTCACTCGGGGGACTACAGAGCCCAAATGGCAGGGGCAAGCAGCGCAAGTGGCTGTTTGGACTCCATGCTCCCCATGCAGCATGGGGACTGTGGAGCCTAAATGGCTGCTTACTCCACTTGCTCCCCCGCAGAGGCCCAGCTGAGCGACGCAGAACTCAGCCGAGCGCCAGGGTGGGAGACGAAGGGGAGCAGGGTGGTGATGTACATGGCCGGGCCCCGCCCCCTGGCTGTGTACATGTAGCCAGACAGGAACCCCCTGTAACATCCATTTTTGCTTGCCTGAAGCATACAGGGCACACAGAGCAGTAAAAGCCTTGAACAGAAGGCCAGGATATGCAGGCTGCTGTGACCCTGGATGGCTGTAAACAGAGATACGCCAATTGCTGACCAAAAGGCTGCCAAGGAGTGCCCTTGACTGAAACCCATATTGATACGAACACGCACTGTCCGGGGGTAGGAATCTCCCGCCCAGTAAAGAATGTCCAGTACTCACAATTTAGTTCTCTCTCTTGCAAGTGTAAATTAAGTTGAAACTCCCTTGTAAGAACTGGCATCACAAAGACAAACCAACACAATTTGGCATCTTAGATAAGAAAGAGGATATGGGCCCCTATGGGTATAAAGATGGGTCCAGCAGCACATTTACTCTGAGTGTCAATCTACCATCTATCTGCTGGTCGGGTTAGGTGTTTGACCTCCCAAGGTTCCATAGGGACGCCCACCTCGTATTCTTCTTTCCTAGGAATTGAGGGACCGGCCCTGGCTTGACCCGCTGGAGTCGAGAGGCACAGAAGGGGGTAAAAATTGTACCTGGATGTGGTCCTTTGTCTTAAGTGTACACATAGACTTAGAGCTCTTTAAAGATTAAGCTGTCACTTGGTACCATTATTTCTATTTTCTATCTTTATTTTCTTTGTAACCATTTTTAAGATCTATATTTGCTAGCAGTTAAGAAATAGAGCAATAGCCATTGTAGCCACATGATTTATAAGCTCCTTAATAAACCTGTAACTGTTTAAGCTTTAACCTGACTCCTTCAGTTGCTGTAACAGAACCAAGCACAATTAAAAGAACTTCAGCCAGTCATAAGGGACAGGTATAGGGAGAGCTTGGGCGTTTGGATTGTGTCGCTTCCGGAGGACAGATCCGTAGGAGCAACTCTCAGCCTTCCCTAGGCTGCCCACTGTGAAGGGATCCTGTATCCTAGCAGTTAAAATCTGAGATGTAATAAGCTCTTCCTATAAACTCTGGGGTGTCTATCAGCCTGTTGGCTGCCCTCCGCGAAGGGATCCCGATCCTAGCGGACTAAGACACAGATGTTAAACTCCTCTGGGCACCCGTCAGTTTCTCCTAGACAGCCCACTGCGACGGGACCTTGTGTCCCAGCAGTTGAAGACTTGTGTGTAACATACACACTTACACTGCCCTGACTGTCGGCTGACAGTACGTCACTGCCCCGCCCCCCTTCCTCTCCCGCCGTGGCACTAAGATGACTTCTGCACCACTCAGCCAGGGCGCCGCAGAAGAGCAAGTGGTGCAAGCGGCCGTTTGGGGTCCACGCTCCCCATGCAGCACACACGGCCACTTGCGCCGCTTGCTCTCCTGCAAGAAGTCAGCCAAGTGCCACGGCAGGAGACAACAGTGCCCCCCAGAGTCACAGACATTGGGCTACTATATATATGATTCTGTTAACAGGGAACAAAGTGTGTCTTTGAATGCAGAGAGATTCTTATTGCTGCCATGATCAATACATATTTGGATTTTGAGACTGATTTTATCCTCAAGAACCCCCAAATCTTTTTCAGGAGTCAGTGCTTCCTAATATAAAATTGCCCATCCTGTTAACTTTGTTATATACGTATATATTTACATTTAGCCACCTTAAAGCATGTATGTGCTTCTAGCCAGTTTATAAAGTAACCAGATTGTTCTGAATCAGTGACATGTCCAATGGCCACTGACGGGGGAAGCAAAGGAGTTGCCCTGGAGCCTGGCGATGTAAAAGGCACCGAGTTCTAGGTTGACATCTCTGCTACTGAGGCAGCAGTGGCCTGTGCCTCAAGCCCTTTAAATTGCCGCCAGAGCCCCATGCAGCATGGTCTGGGCAGCAATTAGGACTGGCTGTCCTCTAGTTCCACCCCTCCTGCTCAAGGCCCCTCCCCTTCTGGGGCTTCCCTATTACCCAGGGCCCAGCAAAGTCCGTCATCAGCTGATGTGTCCTCTTCCTTCTTTGCCACTGTCCCAATTTTTGTGTCACTTCAAACTTTATTAGTGATGATTTTTTGTTTTCTTGCAGATCCTTAATAAAAATATTAAATAGCATAGGACTAAAACTGATGTCTGCAAAACAATTATAAACACACACTGTTTACAATTACATTTTGATATCTCTCATCCAGTTTTTAATCCACTTAATGTGTGCCAGGTTAATTGTATATCATTCTAGTTTTTTTAATCAAAATGTCTTGCAATTTGCTAGCCAAATTAGGCTGGTCAGGTGCCCAGTTTTCAACTAGAACGTCCAGCTCAAAAGGGGACTTAACAGGGGCCAGAAAGTCTGGTGACTGCACCTCCCAGCTCCGGCTCCACAAGCGAGTTCCTCCTGTCCTGAGTGGGATGAGGTGGCAGGGGAAAAGCCGTTTGTGAAGGAGGATGGGGGGGGAGGGAAGAGGTGGGGCAAAAGGGGTTTTAAATATTACTCAGTTGGCAATTGCAGGCCAAATTAGGGCGTACAGGTGCCTAGTTTTCAACTAGAAAAAGAGACAGGATCTCTTAACACCTCCATTGATTGGCATTAGTTGCATTACTCTCTAGGGATGTGAATGTTTACTGGTTAACCAGTAAGCCTCACCCGTAATAGGTGAGACTACCTGGTTATGGTTAACTGGTGGGGGCTGGAGCAGTTCCCCGGCTGGGGGTGTGTGTATATGTTCCTTTCAGGCAGGGGCTGCTCCAACATCCCAGCTGGAGCAGCCTCTACAGGGGACTTGGGCACCACAGAGGACGTGGACCCCAGAGGGGCGGGGGCGGCCCCACCCCAGCCAGTCCAGCTCCAGCCCAGCAGCAGTTGGGAGGGAAGGGGTGGGCAAACCAGGCTGGAATGTCCTTCCCACCTGTCCCCCCTTTAATTGGTTAACTGGTTAACCAATTAAATGGGTTTTATATTCCTACAACCTCCTCTAATAGTTTATGAACTCAGCCCTGTATTAATCATTGTACTATGTTGCCTAGGGTCGATGTCAGCTTGCATCTCTATAATTACTAGGGTCATCCCATTTACCTCTTTTAAAACACTGGTGCAATATTTATTTTCTTCCAGTCTTCTGGAACTTCCCCAGTGCTCCAAGACTAAATGAAAATCAACATTAATGGTACAACAAGTTCCTCAGCCAACTGTTTTAAAACTCCTGGATGTAAATGATCAGAACCTACTGATTTAAAATTGCCTGACTGGAGTAGCTGTTGAAACATGACTGTGATGAAAAGAGTACTATAACATGATATGACTACATCGTCTGTACTACCAAAGTTGAAGTCATGGCCAAGTTTGATTTCCAGAATGCAATGATCAAACTAACTTGCTTTTAATACAAAGTTCTCAAAAATCCTCCCACGTACTCTTGCACTCTGTACAAGAGGACTCCTGTATTGCTGTATTATTTTGCAGAGAGCTCTGAACAAAAAAATTATCATGAGTACATCTTGTCTACTGTTTGTTTTTTAACCAGCCATGACAGTAGAAGCTCAAAGGAAGAGTTCAAATCAAATCGGTTTAAAAAAAAAATCCCATCCCTTATTTAGATAAAATACACAACATTAAAATGCACATTTATGTCAGGTGGCAGGAATAAACAGCTTTAACCCAGTTACAGAAACAAAGTGTAAACAGCAGAAGACTATAATACTAGACTCTAGTACAAATTGTATTCACCCTCAACCATGCTACTAACACAAATATGAGTGTATGTGCGTGTATACACACAAACACATATATGCACAGTCAGGAGGCAGAGGATCTTTCTTGCTTAATTATTCATAAAATATTACACACATCTATAGCACTATATAAATAATAAATACACCCCAGTAGGCTAGTAGTTTTCAAACTTTTTTTCTCATGACCCAGTTGAAGAAAATTGTTGATGCCTGTGACACAACATAATGTGACTAGAGTGTAGGCTCTGGGGTAGGGCTGAGGATGAGAGCTTGGGGCTGTAGGAGAGGGCTATTGGGGGTATAAAGGCTGTGGCAGGAGGGGCTTACCTTGAGTGGCTCCCAGTCAGCAGTGCAGTAGAGGTGCTAAGGAAGGATTCCTGCACCTCTCCTGGCACCGCAGACCATGCTGTACTCCAGAAGCAGCCAGCAACAGGTTCCCAGCCAATGGGAGTGTGGAGCTAGTGCTCAGGGCAGGGGCAATTGCAGGGCCCTGTGTGCTCCTTGCCTACTACCACCTAGGGCCTGGGCATGTTGCTGGCCACTTCTGGGGCACAGCACAGTCTGCGGTGCTAGGACAGGCAGGACCCTCACTGCTCACCTGATCACCCTGCAGCAATGAGACCCAGTGCCCGAAATTCTACCACCCAATTGGTCATTACGCATAGTTTGAAAACCACGGAAGTAGGTGGCCCAAAAGCTAGAAGCACTCATGCAGGCTGACCAGCAAAGGACTGGGTTGGTGCTTCCATGGATGAACTAGTCACCTGGTATAGAATAGCCTCCTTTACTGTGAAGGACATGGTGTTTGTGGAGCCATCAGCTTCAAAGGCTGTTTTGAGTTGGTCAGAATCCTAAGGGAGCAAGACACTAGAAAAAATTACTTCATACATTTCTCTATTTTGCCAGAAAATGTCACTTTTGCACAAACATCACTTAATAATCAGGTTTAAATTTCATATAAATGACAAGATGTTGACAAAACATTCCAGCCAGGCGATTCAGCAGTATCTGAAGTAAAGTTAGTTGTCATGGGATAAGAGGGAAGGTTCTCTCATGGATTGATAACTGGTTAAAAGACAGGAATCAAAGGGTAGTAATAAATGGTAAGTTTTCAGAGTAGAGAGGTAACTAGTGGGGTCTCCCAAGTATCTGTACTGAGACCAATCCTATTCAGCCTATTTATAAATGATCTAGAGAAAGGGGTAAACAGTGAGGTGGCAAAAGTTGCAGATGATATTAAACTGCTCAAGATAGTTAAGACCAAAGCAGACTTTGAAGAGTTTCAAAAAGATCTCACCAAACTAAAGGTGTGTCTAGACTACAGGGTTTTTCGAAAAAAGTGGCCTTTTTTCAAAAAACCTTCCCCTGCGGCTAGACTGCTGCTGCATTCTTTGGAAAGTAAACTGAAAGAACGTGGCAGTTTTTTTGACCATGGAAAATCTTGTTTTATGAGGAAGAATGTTTTTTTCGAAAGTGCTCTTTTGAAAAAAGGTGCTATGTAATGCAAACTGTGCTTTTTCAAAAGAGAGCATCCAGACTGCCTGGGTGATCTCTTTCGAAAAAGCGGCTTGCTTTTTCAAAAGTACTGGTTGTAGTCTAAATGCTCCTCAAAAGAGGCTTGCAGTCTAGACATAGCCTAATTGATTAGGCAACAAAATGGCAAATGAAATGTATGTTGATAAATGTAAAGTAATGCACATTGGAAAAAATAATCCCAGCTATGCATACAATATGATGGTGACTAATTTAGTTATAACTACTCAAGAGAGAGATCTTGGAGTCATTGTGGATAGTTCTCTGAAAACATCCACTCAGTGTGCAGCAGCATTCAAAAAAGCAAACAGAATGTTAGGAATCATTTAAAAAAAAAGGGAAAGAGAATAAAACAGAGAATATTTTATTGCCTCTATATAAAACCATGGCACGCCCACATCTTGAATATTGCATATGTAACAGGTCCCATATGAAGAGATAAAAGTACTAGATAAATTCATGGAATATAGCTCCATCAATGGCTATTAGGCAGGAGGAGTAGGAATGGTTTCCCTAGCCTGTTTGTGGTTGCCTCATCTAAAAAAAAAAAAAAATGTTGGCATTGGAAAAGGTTCAGAAAAGGGCAACAAAAATGATTAGAGGTTTGGAATGGGTCTCATATGAGGAGAGATTAAAAAGGCTTAGACTTTTCAGCTTAGAAAAGAGGAGACTAAGAGGGGATATGAAAGAGGACTATAAGATTATGATTGATGTGGAAAAAGTGAGTAAGAAATAATGATTTACTTTTTCTCGTAACATAAGAGCTAGGGGCCCACCAGATGACATTAATAGATAGCAGGTTTAAAACAAAACAAAGGAAGTTTTTCTTCACATAGCCCACAGTCAACCTGTGGAACTCCTTACTAGAGCATGGTGAAAATCAGGACTTTAACAGGGTTCAAAAAAGTACTAGATAAATTCATGGAATATAGCTCCATCAATGGCTATTAGGCAAGATTGGTAGGAATGGTGTCCCTAGCCTCTGTTTGTCAGAGGCTGGAAATGGATGACAGGAGAGGGATCATTTGATGATTCTCTGTTCTGACTCTCTTTGGGGCATCTGGTATTGGCCACTGTCGAAAGAGAGGATACTGGGTTAGATGGACCTTTGGTCTGACCCAGTATGACCGTTCTTATGATCTTAACTAACTTTACTTTACAAAACACAAAGCCCATATGACAGAGTGATTCTGCAGAAACACTAGTGTTTAAATCACTCAACTTTATTTTCAAATGAAAGTTTTGTCTACACTGGTGTTTTTAGCTACGCTACACTGATAGAGCTCCACCAATACAAATCTCAAGTCTAGATGAGGTACAGTGGTGTAAAGTGGCAATGGAACTATGTATCCTATTTTGTATCATAGTTTGAAGGTCTACACTAGGGAGTGCATAATTAAAGGCATTGTAGACAAGGGTCTCTTAAGAGACCTTTGAATTTTGAATTGGATGTTCCTAACTGCCGAATTAACTATAAATGACTACACAACTTCAATTGTTTAATCAAGGCTTGTTTTACTGCAATTCCTGAAGATCACTTGTTCTTTGAATAAGGTACTACATTGTGCAAGTATTGGTGGCAAAATGAGGCCTTTAGAGACTTAGGCTGACTTCATTTAAACTTCATATAATCAACACATTTAATTTTAATGGACATGTGAATGGCTTAATTTTAAAGGATTTGGATAACTGATTTCCATTAGGCTGCTTCATAGTGCTGAATTCTTTTAGGACTTATAGCTTCAAATCAGGAACAATTTCTATAGTTTAAAAAGAACCATTGTTGAAAGCAACACCCTCTAGTTGTCTGAACAAGAAGGAAAAAATGACTTAATTCTTTAGAAGTTGTGATGGTGTATTAACTTTATACAGCAGATTAAGGTGCTGAACAAGGGGCTTTTATAAAATGTAAATCTGATTGCTTGGAGTGACTTAGTCAAATAGATGGAAGAATACCATTTCATATTACTTGTATTGATTCAAACATTGAATGGTATTTATATTATGGACACAAATCTATTGCCACACTTGCGGTCACTGGGGCTGACAGCCTTGCCAATCCCTTAGGCAGAGCTGGGTGGGAGTCCTGCTCAGCTCCCTCGGATGGGGTGGGGCCTCAGGTAGCCCTCAGTGACACCGGGAGCGCACTGCACCTTCCTCAAGCAGGTCTCAGTGCAGTGATTTAAAAGGCTAGGAGCTCCAGGTCCTTTTGTGTCACTGGGTGCCAGAGCAACTGCTTCCTAAACCTCCCCCTTTAGCAGGACTGCTTGTGATATGAAGTCCCTGAAGCTTATACAGGTCAGTAAACATCACTGCCCTGGTGTAAAATATGTGTTGTGTGTCATTCATAGCAGTAATGATTTATACATTTTGCATTCACTGGTGGGTATTAATGGGCTAATATGATTACTCTATCAAGTTATGTTAGCCAATTCCCTTCCTAGGCAACAATTTCATATAAAAAAGCTAAACTCATCTCTCTTTCTCTTTCTCTCTCTCACACACAGAGCATAGTGAGAGCAACATTCATATTATATGTAGTACATATATTCCAGGAAGCCAGAGGAATACTTGAGAATAGCCCAAAGCATCGGAGGAAGTGAGTTGTAGCTCACGAAAGCTTATGCCCTAATAATTTTGCTAATATTTAAAGTTCCATAGGATTCCTTGTTGTTTTTACCGTCAATTTTTACACAATGCATAATTAACATTCTTATCTCATGAAAAGGATGCATGGAGTTAATTTGTTGTATATTTTGCTCTAACTTTTTGTATTTTGTTTGGGCAGATCAACCTCGCCATTTAAGGGATCCTGCTTCTGTTGGCAGGCTCCCTATCCAGCTACACATGACTCCCTGGAAGTGGTGACATGTTCTTGACCCATCCTGAGTGTGAGCTGGTTTCCCAGCCAATGGCAGCTATAGGGGCAGTACTTGCAGGCAGTAGCAGAGCACAGAACCCAGCAGCTGTACTTCCATCTAGGAACCAGAGTGACATGTCCCATTCCTATACTCCCTCCTGGAACCTGCACCCCACACCCCATCCCACTCCTGCCCCAGCCATGAGCAATGGTGTTCAGTCTGGTGTGATTAGAAATTTGGCAACCCTACACATTATTCCAATTAACTGTTTATGTCTGGGTGCTGCTTACTGCAAATGCAAAAGTAGCTGCTCATTGGGAAATCAGGGAGGTTAAACAACTCAAACGTCCTGCTGCCCTTTTTCTTTGTG